GGCCGGTGTGGCTCAGCATTTACAGAGTGTCAGCCCTCAGACCAAATGGTCTCGGGTTCAATTTCCAGTCAAGGGTACCTACCTGGGTTGCAGGTTTAATCCCTGCCCCTGATCAGGGTTGTGTGAGAGGCAACCAATCTATGTGCCCCTCTCACACGGATGTTTCCATCTCTCCATCTCTCTCTCTTTCTGCCCCTGCCTCTCTCCCTCCCTTCTCCTCTATTTAAAAAAAAAAAAGGAAAAATGCCCAGCCCATGTGGCTCAGTGGTTGAGCATCAATACCCATGCGCAAAGAGGTCGCCGGTTCGATTCCCAGTCAGGGCACATGCCTAGGTTGTGGGCCAAATCCCCAGTGGACGGCATGCAGGGGGCAGCCAATCAATGTTCTCCCTCATCAATCTCGCTCGCTCAATCGCTCGCGCACGCTCTCTCTCTCTAAAACTCAATAAAGAAAAAAATTTTTTTAAAAAGGAAAAATATCCTCGGGCAAGTATTAAATGAAATAAAAATAAACTAGTGTTTGTAAAGGCTTTTTATACATTAGCAAGAAGGGAGATAAAGGGTAATACAGTTGATTTCCAACAACATGGATGGATCTAGAGGGTACTGTGCCAAGTGAAATAAGTCAGACAGAGAGAGACAAATACCGTGCGATTTCATTTGTATGTGGAAACTGAAAAAAAACAAAACAAACAAACAAACAAACCAGAAACAGACTCAGATACAGAGAAGAAACTGATGGTTTGCTAATGGTAAAATTCTACCTCCACACAGCCACCCAACCCTAGAACTCCTTCAACTATCCCAGGGCTCAGTATGTGACAGTGCCAAATCATTTGGGACACACTGACAGTGATTTACATAATTCCCTAAATGCACTGACAGATATATGCTTTGTCTCTCCAGGGACACTTCACACTCCTTCTGGACAAAGATCATGTCTCCTACACCCTGTTAAATTTCCCAGACCAGACCACGTAGAATGCTTAAGCATTTTAACAGGCATGCAAAATCTGATGGTTCTGCACTGCCCTGGTTTTTAGTCGAGTCAGCCAAAATTGGACACTCCAGGAGAGGAGAGGGACTAACACATAATTAAATTAAGTAGGACATTTATCAAGTCAAACTTTTGTCAAGTTAGGTACCTTAAAAGAGAAAGAAGGAAACATCCCTTTACCTCCTTCCCTCCAGCATAGCCTCTTTTCCTCATTAGCATGATAGAGAAAGAAATGCAAGGCAATTTTCCCTCTAACTTTTCTTTAGAAAATTAAGGCAGTTTTTTTCCTACAAGCTGCTTGTTGAATTCTATATCTACACTGTAGCACTAAACAGCCTTACCATAGCACTTGTAAACTTTTTTTCTTCTAAGAAAATATCCCTACTGCCCCAAAGCCCCACTATTCATGGTTTAATTTGCAAACCCCATTTAGACAAAAAGTACCAGAAAATTGTGCTTCCCATTTCATGCAGCACCTTCCCTATAGCAATGACACAAGCAATTAAGCTAATATGCCTATGTCCCAAGAGGATGAAAGGGGACAAAAGTCTCAACTTTTCTAAATGGAATGAAATTTTTCTCCACTACAGAAGCAAGGTTCAGAGGGTGAGAAAAGGGAATTGCAAGGCAGTTAAATTCACTATTTAATAATACAAGACTATAATGAACTGCAAGTCCTTGAACTTCCATTATGCCTTTCTACTGGGATGCTCATGTAATTTCAAATGTATTACTGTAAAATCCTGGTCACTGGAGATGCAAGAGACTGGGGGGATAAAATGGACTTTAATTAAAATATGAATAATCCAAGTCCAGCTAATTCAAAGCATCTGACTCGAACACCTAGTCAGCTGGGAAACAGCAGCTGCTTCCAATTACAAGTGATTTTGAATTAACTGGTATCAGTATCTAATGAAGAAGCTGTGTATGCAGGAAATTTTCCAAATCAGCTGTGCATAGCACATGGGGGGGGGGGGGGGGGGTCGGGGTCCAAAGGCCTTTCTGTATGACCTTATTCTGGGTCAGGGCAGTTTTTCAGCTTGTTCTTGTCTTTGCCTCTGACCCCAAAGGCCAGTCTTTCTGTGGCCTCTTGTATTGTGCTTCCCAGTCTCAGATTCTGAACACAGACACTTCACAAGACAGATGTGACAACTCTTCCTGCTGCCTGCACACCTTCTGCCTCTCTCTTGGCACCCAAGGATGTGACCTCAAGTCAGAAACCCAGGCAACCCAGAGAAAAAAAACATTTTTAATCCTAACTCAAAATGGGAAGCCTGGCCCTGGCCGGTTTGGCTCAGCGGTTAGAGCGTCGGCCTGCGGTCCTGAGAGACCCGGGTTCGGTTCCCGCTAAGGGAGCGTATCTCGGTTGCAGTTTGTCCCCGGCCCTGGTTGGTTGTGCGGGTGGCAGCCACTCAATGTGTTCCTTTCACGTCAATGTTTTTCTCTCTCTCTCTCTGTTCCTCTCTCTCCCTCCCACTCTACCTGAACAAAAAATGGGAAAGTGTCCTCGGGTGAGGATAAAAAAAAAAAAAAAAAAATGGGAAGCCTGAAGGCCTCTTGAAGTCCGGTGGCCTCTCCAGGAAAGACAAAAACTAAAGGCCTAACCAAAACCTCCTTCAGCCTGGGGACTCATACCAGCCTCCTATGAAAAGAACATTCCAGAAGTCCATCCAGCTTCTAACTGCAGGTGGAGCTTTAGACCATCAGATTCTCAATAGCCTTTTTCCCCCCAAAAGCTTTTTAAGGGTCCCACTGATGTGATCGGTGGGACAGTGAAAAATATAGGAAAGGGAAGTGGAAACCTCTAACATCTCCTTCTTAGACACAGCAAACACTAAAGGTGCCAAGCAGCAGAAAAATCCAGAATCAAAAGTCAGACAACAAAATTGCTGGCTCGGTCTTCTACTAAATCACCCTTTCACACATAAAAACTCAAATTCTAAAACCTCCCTGTCTTCTCCTGTGCTGCTATCAAATAAAACACTCTGGGAACATCACTTACTAACGTTGTGTTAAACTATCTGAATGAAGGCAAGTTTATTTGGGTCTGAGAACCCGACAATGTTTGCTGAAATGTCCTTTCCCCATACACGTCCTGTTTTACAAATAGAATATGTCAGAATGTGTTTCTTCAGAACAAGTACTAGATAATACATAGAAACCTTTAGCTTTTCTGTGAAAATAAGAATCACTTCATTTTCTAGTTAACAGGCAAAAAATGCACCAGTTTCTTCTTACATCTGTACAGAAACACACAAAAACATTAAGGACACGCCCCCAAATTCTCATAAAATGCAAAGAAAAATATTTCTTAATGTAAAAAACCTGGTTTTTAAAACCTAGGAAAGGAAAAAGACACAAACAGGAAAACTTAAGAGAGATACAGAAGGGGGAAAAAAATGAAACCAATATATTCTTCAGGGAATCTCCCCATAGAATTAGATTGATCTTTAGGAATGTAAAACCAGGATCCTATTAATTTACATTATTTCTACATATCATCCTTCAAAAAAAACTCTTAGAAACAATTTTTTAAAGAACACAATCATTATTTGTAGATCATTTCTTTACTTTTGTAAGTAAGAGCTTGTACTGTCCCAGAGGCACAGTGGGGACATCTGCAGAAGAAAAGGAGATAATAAACGCACATCCATCCCATTTATAGATCTTTAATCATTTGGCTATTCTACTCAGTGTTATGTTTACAGAGAACCCACTATGTGTATTCATTATTGTTAGCAAATGAAAAATATTTTTTAAAACAGTTTCAAGACAGCAGTGAACATTAGTGTGGGAAAGACCAGGACATGTAGGTACTCTTAATATGAGGAAGCTGCAGTGTTTCTAGGCAGGATCTCTCCCCACCCCACACCCGCCAACTGAACGAGTGAAAAATAAAGACCCACAAAATCCAGTAAGCACATCTATCAGAACATAACTCAGTAGAAAGAAACAAATATTCAGGCAATCTTAGATCTTTCCTTCACTTATGCATTCAAATTGAGCCCCTACTCTGAACCAAACAGTCCACTTTGTTCTCCATAAATAGCAACTTAATAGGTTTTATTTTGTATGCTGATAACAACATATAAATGTAATATCTTAACCTAGTATGATCCCCTTTTAACTTGAGAGAAAAATCATTAACATTCTGCTTTTAACACTTGGAAGAATAATGTTTTTTTAAATTACTGGGGGGTGGTGCAGAGGGGGAGCTGGGTTTATAAATTCAGTGGTGTGTGGCAATAATAAAATCGTAATAGAAATCAAATGTACAGGAAGTGCCAGACATTCCAAATTAATTGCCAGAGATACTATACTTAGACGCCCCCATCTTACAGGTAAGGAAACTGAGTAAATAGGAGATTAAATAAATGACAAGAATCAGAATTGAAACCCAGGGATCTGGCTGCACAACCCTGCACAACTGCCTGCCAGGATGGGGAAGGCAGCACAATCCTTCAAAGTGAAACAGCATCAGGATTCAAATCTCAACTGGGGGGAGAGGGAGGCAAGTCTAACCCTGCCCCTTTGCCCAGCCTTGTTTCCTCAAGTGCAATTTGGGGGGGAAATGCCCACTTCACAGGATTGTTGTAAGACTTGAATAGGTAAAATACTGTATATAAAACATTTCCATGGGTATGTATTTGATCCAAGTTCTCAAACAGAGAACTTTCGTGTTTTTTTTTAAAGACAATATAAGCATAAACTCATCATTTCAAGATGAATTCTGGATAGAAACCAGCAAGACAGCAAGAAATCCCTGAGACTGCTCTGTGTTTACCAAATGAGACATGACAGAGTTTGGGGAAATGTATAACACTACACAGACAGTGCATTATAACTAGTTGTCTATAAGGAAACAACACCAGGCTTCCTTCCAGAATAAGAAGTGAATGGTCCTCAGAGGAGAGAGCACACAGGACACTGGGCCAAAAGAGGTTTCTTCAAGCAATGCTTAGGCTTTACAACCCATCACTGTGGTGTTGTTCTTCCCCCAGATGCTTGTCTCCAAGACCTGAAACTGAGAGCCACCAGTCAGTCAGTCAGCTATGTGTCACTGGAGCTGCTGGAGCACTGGAATGGAACCCATTAGCCACAGCCAGATTAACAGGTCACGAACAGTGCTCCCCATCACTGGTTTTAAATATCATTCAATTGTGGGAGAACGACTACCACGGTCTTCATTCTCTCCTGGTTCAGAAAGCTGGATCCCCTAAAATAATCATTTTCAAACATTTTTCAGTAGCGGAGATATTTGGTAATGAAGTTGTCTGGGTTGGAACAGAGACATGAGAAGCAGGAACCATTGCACAAACTACCCACAATAAAGTTAGTCCTAAACCCTTGCTATGATACAGGAAGATTCCCTGAGAACCTGAGAGAAATGCAGAATCTCAGGCCCCACCTCAGACTACTAAATGAGAAGCTCCCCTTTAACAAGATTCCTGTGTGATTCATACCCACGGACCTAAAGCGCTCTGGAACCATATTTGGTCTCAATCCTGGATCCTCTCCCCATGTTCTTCCCACAACTGGAGTAAAAGATATACATATAATTGAAGAGATACACAAAGTAGAAAATAAATACCTGTGGAATTAAAACTGAATAAAGTGAAAGGGAAGTCAGGTTACCAAAAAAAGGGAAGTCTAGGAAGACAGAACTCACAGTATTCTGGAGGGGAACTCTGCTCCAATCATACACTACAACTTCAAAACTAAAGAAAACTCAACTGTGGAAAGGTCAGGTAACTAAAATGCAGTCCCACAGCTTTTCAAAGCAGAGCAAACACCCAAACCAGAACCCAACACCTCTACAACACAGTCACTATCAAGTCCAGAGGTACCTTTTATTCAAGCTCTAGCTCTACTACATATTAGTCTGACAGGACTCAAAATCAATCATCTTCTTAAAAGTATCAATTCCATACCTGTGAAATGAGAGAAGGAGATGGTCAGACTTCCTAATAGATGATTAGGATCAAATACACGAATCCCCAAGATCCTGAGGAAATAATTTCCTCAGTTTAAAGAAAGAAGTGCTAGGATCTACAGAAGTACTACAGAATAAGTATGTTTTCTTTGTAAATATTCCTTGCGTTAAGAACAACAAAACCATCCGCACAATTTCTATATAACCTCTCAGGAAAGAAACAAAAAGGTTGCAATGAAGCTAAACAATCTCCTTGCAAAACTCAATTTAAGGTCATGTCACCAAATATTAAATTTACCTATCTTCTATCTGTGAGGTAAATCATATAAGCACCCTTTGGGCTGACAATCCGGGCCTGAAGTGCCCACAGTTCAGTCTGGCCCGACTGGGCGCCGGTCTGTTCGTCGCTGCAAGCACTTCGGACATACATGAGTGCTGCCTGAACAACAGAGAGCACCCTTCCCCTACAGAGCCACAGCAGTTATCTGTGACCATCCAATACCAAGAAACCAGTTTAATCACCCAAATGTTCAGGGGTATCGCCAGAGTATACCAAAAGATTAAAATGCCAATGTTAGAAGTCAGTTATCAAGTCAGAACCTGCACTTTTTAGATAAGTTTTATAGCCTAGTGGCTTGGTCAGGGATTGGGGATGGAGCCTGGGGTGTGGGGCATTTAGATTGGTTTGGGAAGACACAGAAAGCTAATTAAGGATTTCCCTCCTTCAACAAGGAGGCAACCACCTAACAAAGTGGCAACCATTTCTGGGCCACCAAGAGATGTTGGCTCAGCACACGTTTTGATAAACTGTAGGATACTCCCTAAGCACAAACCATAGAAGGAGCCTTAAATCTCCTTACCAGGAACAGCTGCTGGCACTTTCCACCTTGCCTGCCCCACTGGCACAAGCCTTGACTTTAAGAGATTTGACTAAAGAGTTATAGCCCCCAACTTCCTTGACTTTAATTAAACTTGGCTTCCACTTCTAAAAAATCCTCAAGTTTTAATTTTGTTTTGTAGTCCCACTAATGCTTTTAAATGAGAGATGCTGTGAAAGAGAGGAGCAAATTCTTTGCAGCTGTGTTTGAGCATCCTGCCAACTGAAGCACAGGAAGAAGCTCTCCCATGTTAAAAATTTCCAACTGGGAGATTTACAAAACAGCAGGGGAGAGTGGATGGTGGAGAGGAAGACTGTGCAAGGGAAAGATCTGCAAAAGGCTCCCTTTTTGTTTTTAAGTCCCAGGAGCCTTTGGAGGCTGTCATGCTTCAGCGATTGCTACCTCCTCCCACTCTACCCCCTTTCTAAAGCCACCGTCCTTTCCATACAGGCTTTCAGGGAGAGGTACACATTCTGCAGAACGACTTTTTAGCTGTTCCTTTATTTCACTCCCATCTCCCCAGGCCTCCCCAACAGTCATTCTGTCACAACTGGATAATGCAAAGAAGCTTAACAGGGAGGTAGCAACCATTTTCCTCTGACTAAATGAAGTCCTGGAGTTAAGCTGCACTCCTAAGAAGGAAATGACAATCATTTTGGCAAATGAACTTTTTCGTTTCTCTTAGCAGCAGCAAGATAACCACTGTCAACAATAGTAAAAGCTCAAAGATGCGTTTTTCAGTTGTGTTGTTAAAGCTCTTATGCAGGAAAATCTAGCTACACCATTATGAAAAGGTAATTCAGGTCAAATGTGCCATCTGAGAGAGTTTGGAGGTTTTGTTTTAAATGTCTGTATTGGTAATGGGTATGCTTCACAGAGAAAGAAAAAAGCAGTGGTCACCACTCCTTATCACAATTTCCAGTAAGTAGGTAGGCAGGCGGGAGCAAAGGTTTCATTACCATCCACCATCCATCCCCCCTTGCAGGTGGGGAGCAGTCCATACACTATGGCCAGAGAATGTAAATGACTGATTTCCCTCTATAACTCTGGTGTTATGTTCTGACTCATTAGCATTCTGGGAGGCTGTGTCAATGTGCACTCAATGGAACCAACTTTCCTCCAGCTGAACCCTTAGCAGACCCTAAGTAACACAACATCTTCAGGGAAGTAGGTAAAATATATAGCCCTCCAGGGATGAGGATGCACACAGCTTAATAATGCCCTATACCATATCTAGATGAACGTACAGTAAAACAAAGAGCTATCAGACTGAGAGACAGGAGGTCCTCTAAGGTCCTCAGTAATGAGACCAGGGTAAAATCTCCTTCCTACATCACAGCAGATTTTTGAAGACAGGAAAGTCAATGAAAATGTCCTCTCATAAAGTTTCAACAGCATGGGCTGAAACATTAACCAGAAAACTCACCAGAACCACCGTACTCCATTCTCAGAGTATTCCAAGTCTGTCTCCATTTTACTATCATTTGAAACTTGATTCTAAGAACAATCTTCTACCTGGACTATTTCATAACTGACAACCTTACAGCTGGTTAGGATTCAGGCGCTCCTTTCCCAGGGGCTGGCATCCCCAGGCCTTTTGCTTCCCCTCAAGCAGATCTCTGAAGCAGACACCTCTACGTCTATGTGGGGAAAAGCACACTTGGTTCTACATAGAATGCTAGTGAGCTGCTTGCCCAAGTATTTTGTTTGTGTGTGTTTTAATGGGTGGAGGACACTGAGGTCAGGAAAACGACACTCCAGGAAGCTCAGGCTCTCTGTGGACACATTTTTTTATGTTAGAGTATTGAGATCACCATCTATCCTTACAGCCAAAGGAGAACAAGTTAATTAATAGTTTTCCATCCAGCATTGGCCTGCGGTCCGGAGAGACCCAGGTTCAGTTCCCGCTAAGGGCCCGTACCTAGGTTGCAGTTTGTCCCCGGCCCTGGTTGAGTCGTGTGGGTGGCAACCACTCGATGTGTCCCTTTCACGTCGATGTTTCTCTTTCTCTCTCTCTCTCTCCCTCCCACTCTATCTATCAAAATATATCGAAAAATGTCCTCGAGTGAGGATAAAAAAAAAATAGTTTTCCATCCAGCAAGTTGTAATGTGTATTATTCTAAACTCTCCCTCAAAGCAGCTTAAGAAAGAGACACTGATGTGCAGATGGAAGGGAATGCCTACCATGTACTGGGCACACATATTAAACACCTACTCTTTGCTCAGGGGGGCTCCTGCATCCCATTTTATAGTGGCAAACACTGAGGCTGCCTTTAGATGAGGTCCAGTGATCTTCTAGGCACTCAGCTAGGAAGTGGCAGGGTGAACATTCAGTGGCCAGCTGCCGTCCTTATTTAGAGCAGTAAGTCCTTATTTCAACAATAAGTTTCCAAGGGTCATGAGGTGACATTCACGTGAATGAACAAACATACACACTAACACAGACCACGTGCATACCCACATACACTTGCTTGAATATGTATTCACAAAACTGTTTTTAAAACACTGAGAATACAGTGCTTTCAAACGAACTAAAAAGAACACGTTTTTGCTTCAGGAGAACCCAATAAAAGCAGAAGGGCCTTTGACAAAAGATTCCTAAAGCTTAAAATATACAACACCCTAGCCAGGAGAAGTAGGTTGGGCAAAGGCGTTTCCTGAAGCGCAACCCAGCACTGCTAGGTGGAGAACAATGACCATGAAACTGCTGTTTCCTTATGAGGCCCTGCAAATTAGTCTTTCCCCCAGGGGGAGGGGATGTGAACCTCGCTCTTTACTATTTTCCTTTTCACTGCTACTATTCCAGGGTGAGTGTTTGTGATGGTAGTGGGATGGTGTTAAGAAGAAAGTAAAAAGTCTAAACTGGTACTTGTATTTATTCTTTGTTGGAAGTTCACTGTAAGAAAGAATTAAATACATTTATTTGTCAGAGACCATTCTCTCCCTTCAAAAGAACTCTTTAAAAGAGACACACAAAGATCCCCAAACTATGCTTAATCAGCACAAATACCACATGGGAACCATTGGACCCATTTGTCCTTTGGGGCTCCAGACACTTTGCAGGGTAAAATGTGCAGACAGAAAGGAATGAAGAGCATGTGTGACAGTTACCTGAGATACAGCTGATCAGTACAGACCTATAATTTGGAGACCCTGCACCTCATGCCATCTTTTTCATAAATATTCATCCCCATTTGCTGAGAGATCTGACAAGCTCCACGTAAAACCTGAACATACTGGCCACCATCAGTGCCCTCTAGCCTCCATGAAGCATGATTATCAGAAAGACCCCTGAAGCTGACAAGGGTGCTGGAAATAA